ATAGATTGTTGAGCCTGCTACGAACATCTCCCCGTTGAGCCGAGTCGTAGGATTTGAGACGCTGGTTCACCTGCAAGGCAACCGTTTGCGTTCTTTTTCGGCCCAATCGCCTAGGGCTGGGGTCGGGAACCTATGGCTCGCGAGCCACGTGTGGCTCTCACAGATAAAATTTGAATTATAAACTTCGGTTTTGTGGTTATGGTTCCTCCAATAACGTGCCGCCGCAGCCGAGGCGTGCATTAGAATCAATTTAATCTTGACCAATCTCTGGCGTTTTGCCCCTCCCCTAGTTTTGACCTAGCAGTTGTTTCAGTGTTCCCTTTCCGGTTAGCCGACAGCAGTTGCTTCCCTTTTCTCCTGCGTCCCAACGGCCGCGACAAGCTCGCTAAATAAGAGACGCTCTACTAAAGCACGACAGCCCCCAGACTTGACCTCAAATTAGTCAAGGTTACGCTGGCAGACAAGGTTATCTTACGCGCATAAGCCAGCCTGCCTTGCCATCTATAGTTCCTTGTGTTGACTTCTCCCAGACGGATGCATTTGCGCTCAGATTTTGTATGTTGGTTGTCAAATGGGAAGGTGCTTAGACGTTTTACAGCTTGTCTGAACGAAATCCGGATGTTCCTAGAAATGAAGGGCATTGAGCATTCTGAGCTAGTCAAAACTGAGTGGCTCCTCATGTTTTACTATCTCGTGGATATGACCGAACATCTGAACCAGCTCAACGTTAAAGTGCAAGGCAAAGGAAATGCAGTGTTATCCCTTCAACAAGCCGTGCTTGCTTGTGATACATTGTACGAAGGAAGTTTTGCGGTTCTGCCATTAAAAGGGTCCACAAGGGTGAGGGATTTATTCAAGTTCATGGATTTCGCTCAAGAAAAAAAAAAACTACCTATGGATAAACTTATCTCAGTGTGTACTGATGGTGCTCCGTGTATGGTGGGGAAAAACAGGATTTTTGGCGCTTCTCTGTGAATATTAAAATAGACACATCCCACGTTTCCATTGCATTCTACACCAGGAAGCTCTTTTTGCTCAGATATGTGACTGGCAGCTTGGCGAAGTGATGTCGCTGGTCATTCGTATGATTAACTTTATTGTTGCCCGAGTCTCAATTGTTTGACAGTTTAAAGCACTGCCGTATGAAGTTGGAAATAAATATCATGGTCTGAACTTGCACAGCAAGGTACGTTTGTTGTCAAAAGGGAAGGTGCTTAGCCGTTTTGCAGCTTGACTGAACGAAATCCGGAAGTTCCTTGGAATGAAGGGCATTGAGTATCGTGAACTTGCCGAAACTGAGTGGCTCCTCATGTTTTGCTATCTCGTGGATATGATCGAACATCTGAAGCAACTTAACGTTAACATGCAAAGCAATGGAAATACAGTGTTAGCCCTTCAACAATCCGTGTTTGCTTTTGAAAACATGGATTTTGAAATAGATCGATTACTACATTTTAAAAATTTAAGACAATATAAAAATGCATGCATAGTAAGTGAGTCCACTCAAAACTTTGATGTCCACCAGCTAGTTGGCTTCACATCCAGTCTCCTACAGTCGTTCAAAGCACGCTTTTGAGAATTTCGAAAGCACACTCGTCTTTTTAAGTTCATCACCCATCCAACCAAGTGTTCACTGAA